TACATAAGAATTAAATGTTATCGCTTAGGCTGAAATGTTTTCAATTAAGCTCATTTAAATCCATTTATAAATAAATTGGTTAAACAAAATAATCATACTTTTTACAAATTAATTTAAGATGTAGAGAGTTTTTATTTGTCAAATGATAAACGAAAAAATGATTCAAAATGACATTCATTTTCCACTTGTTCAATTCTCATGATTTTATTGGTTTTTAAACACTATAGTTTTTCAAATATTTTCATAAGAATGAAATGTTTTCATTTAGGAATAAGTGTTTTTATTTTAGTTTATTTTAAAATTATTTAGTATCTTTTGAGTTGCAAGAAATATTGGTTGATTGTGTCCATTAGACCATTACTAAAAATAAATAAAGTTTTTTTTAAAAATAAAAGGTACCACTTAAAAATTGGGGCGTGGAGAGTTTTAATTTGTCCATAGAAGAATGAGTTTACCAATCAAATTGGAACGTAGGGAGTTTTTATTTAGGCAGAAATGTTTCATAAAGAATGAAATGATTTCATTAAGCAAAGTTATTTTCATTTAAGCTGGTTCTAAGAAAAATCAGTCTTTTTTGAGTTACCATAAATCTAGATTGTTTGTGTATATTTCTCGCAAAAGAGATATTTTTCAAATAAAAGTTAAAGGTATGACTCAAGAATTGGGGCGTAGGCAATATAAATTGGTCCATAGAAAAATCATCTTAAAAATTAAATCGGGACGTAGAAAGTCTTAATTTGTTAAATGAAAAATGAAAATCCTTCAAAATGACTTATATAAAATCTTGTGGATGGAATTATTTTACAGTCTTCGAATAAATAATGATTTGTATCAAAGAATGTTTCCTTGTACTAGTATAAAGTTTTTTTAATTGTATGAATGACAACAACAAAAATAATTAGCCATATTAAAGACAACAAGGTTGAATGGACATTCAAAGTGAAAGTTGTTGAAAAACCTCATTTAAATATATTATTTTCTCTAATACACTAATTTTATACAATGTCTTTTTAATATACATGGATATACAATATAATTCAAACAAAAAACCTCATCATGTTGACATAGGCGTTGAGTATGAACGAAATGTGATTTCAAAATCCATAGATGCAAAAATCATGTCACTCATCCAATTACCTTACTATGAATTTGGAATATATCAATCATGTCGATCAACTTTAAATATCTTACATACCTTAATGTTATTCTCATTATTCTTGGAATTGATGTCAAGTAAACCTTGATCGGATACTAAATCCGCGCAACACGCGTAAAAAATGCTTGTGTGTGTGTGTTTGTATATGTATGTGTGTGTACACCCACACAATATATATATATATATATATATATATATATATATATATATATATATATATATATATATATTGTTTTTTTTAATTTTTTTATAATATAATTAACGGTCGGTTACAAGCAGGGGGCCCGAGGCCCGTTAACCTCGTGACTACCCCAGGGCCCGTTAACACCCGAGATAGATAGCCCACTATAGAAAGCCCAAAGTAAGCCCAATCTAAAGCCCAGCCCCATAAGCCCAAATCTACTTCCAGGGGTCACCCATCGATCATTTCTGCTACTCCTATGCCAGCACGCTTAACTCTTTAAAATTCCTCCAAATTTGCATCTTCTGGGGATCGAACCCGGGTGGTGTGGTTCGCCAATCAACCCTGTGACCATCTCTACAGGGGGGAACCACTATATATATATATATATATATATATATATATATATATATATATATATATATATATATGTATGTATGTATGTATGTATGTATGTATATATATGTGTATATATATATATATATGTATATGTATGTATATATATATATATACACACACACACACACACATATATATAGATTTTGGTTCTGGTGAGAATGCTATCTTATGAAAGAAATAAGAATGAATCTGGTGCTTTAGATTGTGAGATCTAAGGGTCAGGATTGCATCAAAATTAGGTGCATCAAAATGGTTTGAAAATGCATCATGTCGAAATGCACCAAAATACTTTGAAAATGCATTATCTCAAAATCTAAGCGCAGGATGCAATCTGAGCCGCACGATATATGCATCAGATCCAAATGCTAGATTTTATTTTTATTTCTTTCACCAAGGTGCATTCCCACGTGAACCGGCCCATATATATATATATATATATATATATATATATATATATATATATATATATATATATATATATATATATATATATATATATATATAGATTTTGGTTCTGGTGAGAATGCAATCTTAGGAGAGAAATGAGAATGAATCTGGTGCTTTAGATTTTGCGATCTAAGGGCCAGGATTGCATCAAAATTAGGTGCAACAAAATGGTTTGAAAATGCATCACGTCGAAATGCATCATAATCCTTTGAAAATGCACTATCTCAAAATCTGAGCGCAGGATGCAATCTGAGCCGCATGATGCATCAGATCTAACGGTTAGATTTCATTCTCATTTCTCTCCACAAGGTGCATTTCTCACAGGAACCAGCCCCTATATATATATATATATATATATATATATATATATATATATATATATATATATATATATATAAAATGCTTTGAAAAATATAATGCTTTTATTGATAAAATTAAATCAAGTCACCTAATAATGTGAGAGTAATTAAAATCCAAGGATGGCACACTAAGAATAATTTCATAGGAAAGCAAAGTACCAAATAAACTAATAAAGCACTGCTTTTTAAATAATGAATATAATAATGAGAATGTTCTTTTCAAATGGTAAAACTTGACAAATTTTATAGTGTTTGAAGGACTCAAATATTCAAACGAAGCAAGGGTTAATTATTGGTATTTTAACTACTTTGGTTATATTCCGTACCAAACTTTTCACGTTTAGTATTTGACTAAAAGTATTTGGAGTGATTAGAGAGACAAATACACGTGTTTAGTAACATCATGCTTGGACCATTTAATTACTATTATATTCTACTCTATCAATTTTTTTTTAAAAAAAAGAGAATTACACTTTAACAAGAGGCCAAATGGACGACCATGATTGCTTCCATCTACTATAATCTACTCCCGACTCCTTTGTGTATAAACATCTCGAAAAATCATTTATTTAAGAAAAGAGTATATTACATTATATTAAGGCCGTTGTGGTTTGGCAAATGTGTACGGTATCGTTATTCCTCATAGTTTCAAAAGTTTTTCGTTGTTTCTCGAGTGCTTCTTTAGTGCACCTTGAGTGCGTACCATTTTTATGGACCTCTTCATATAAAATTTTTTTTTTTTTAAATTTTTATTAAAAAAAAACTTATTTAAGTAGTAAAAAATACTTATTTAAGTAGTAAGAATTTTTTTTGAATATGTCAGGACCAAAAGAATACCTAGTGAGGTCTTTTTAATATATACGGAGTAATTAATTATATATTAATATCATTTTTTGGATTTTTTACGGTTTCTAATATAACAATTTTAAATGTGTGTGTGTGTACACACACACAGATATATATATATATATATATATATATATATATATATATATATATATATATATATATATATATATATATATATATATATATATATATATATATATATATATATATATATATATATATATATATATATATATATATATATATATATATATATAAAATTTATTTCAAAATTTCATTTCAAGACAAATCAAATAATTATAAATTGTGTCTACTTTCACTCAAACAAACTGTATATTTTTATCTATCATTTCAAAAACAAAAAGTCATGTTAATTTTTACTCAGTATTTTTTTAGACCTTTAATATAATTTTGTGGTATGTAATTCAGTGTCTTCAAGAACAAAGATCTTTCTCACCAACTTTTTTTTAAATTAAAAAAAAAGTCTGTTTATAATGATGCAAAACTGTGGGTAGATGTGCGAACCAATTATGCAAAGACAATGCTAAATCGGGACAAGCAAACAAATGGAAATACAACAGCTAGACAAACCATTCATTTGTTATTTTTTTAATTACTCATACGGTTTTGCTTTGTTTTTTTTTGTTGGGTTCCATAATTATTTTAACACTCATATTTTATGGCCCTAAAAAACACTCATATTTTAAGAATAGAAATCACCTTAAATAAGACTAAAACATAGAGTAAAGTACCAAAATAAGACTTTCATATTTTTTTCCCGAAATAGGACTTTGCACTGTGGTAATGTGACTTTGCACTGTGGTCATGTGGCAGTGTACATGTGCACATTACTATACTTTTTTGGTAATGTATATGACCATGTTTGGTAATGTAAGTCCTATTTCGGGAATAAAAACATGGAAGTTCTATTTTGGTATATTTTCAATGTTTTAGTTCTACTTTGATTTTTCTCCCTTTTAAGAATGGCTTTTTGTTAGGATTAATTTATAGTTTAAGTATTATATATTCTTGTAAGAATTGTTTAGGCTAATCCTAGGTTTGGTGTTTCCAATAAAAAATCTCATGTTTGTTCTAATCTTGATGTTAATGTTATGACTAATCTTAATTCACCGCAATAATAATGACGTTTCCGAGGTAAAGTTAATTTGGAAAATTATGGAGTATTTTGCAAATTTAGCACAATCTTTTCTCAAAAAAAAGAAAAAAGATAGTACAATCTAAGCAATAAAAATGCACCATTATATTCTTGAAATTAGAATTCTCTCATTTTGAAATTCAGAATAAGCTTATTCAAGAATTCAAAATGAGAGAATGTTGGGCTTTTGGTGTTTGATTTTACTTGGTCCATGTTGAGAACGAAAATCATATAGACCAATTGAACCTCCTCGCTAATATCAATTTGTAAAAACATGTTTTTTTCGAGTTTTTGAAATAACTATTCAAAGAGCTAACACAAACAATTACGAGTGTAATTGTCAAATAAAGATTGATTAATTGTACTAATTCTTTTTAAAACATCTTTGAAACATTAAAACTAGGCTCTTTAACATTAATACAAGTCAAGAATGAGAGGAAATAAATAGATTATATAAAACTATACCATTTGTTTTTTTGGAGATCTATTACAAGACAGGTAGTAGTGGTAGTATGAAGAGTGCAATATATAATCGGGTATTTGCTTGTCGGGAAAGAAGGGAAAGTGTTACTTTAACCCCAAGATTGACACCATCAGAGACAAATCATACACGAGTCATTGTCTGTGATACACTAGCGATGTCAACCTGGGTGTCATTTGTAGTGTGAATGTAACATGACCCAGAAGGCAAAACAATGGCTATCTATTGTTGGCGACTTTCAAGAGTGCGACGAGCTCGGCATCATTCTGCCCCAAATCTGCAATAAGTTTAGAAGTGCAGTTGCCTTCCTTGTCAATGGTATTTGCATCAGCCCCTCTATTTGAAATATAGGAAAAAAAGAAGACAAGATTGACAAAAAAACCAGTTAGATAGTATACTTGTGCAGAAAAATTGTTTTTTTTGTCCCTCAATCTTTCCTCATTTGGCTTTTCAATCCCTCATTGTCAATTGTTTTTGGAAAGGCAACTGTTTGACTTTTTTAGTCAAAGTTCACAAACTTTGACTGAATTTTGCCGATAAAGTATAATTAGTTATAATGTGAATTTATTTACAACTACAGTTATTGACGGTCAAAGTGTTGGACTAAAGACCATAAAAAGTTAAATACTCTACATGCAATCTAAATTGGGATGGGGAAAAAGGTTGCATCCTTCTATGGAACAACACAAGATGTACAAGTTGTTGTTAGGGTCCATTTGGGAGAGCCATTTGCAACTTTTAGAGATTTAAAAAAAAAAAATTCTAAAGCAGCTTTTGGGGTCACTTGATGCAATCCTTTTGGAACTTTTAAAAGATCCAAGTGTGCCATATTAAAAATTGTAGTTCAATTCCCAAAAGCTATGGCTTCTAAAATTTCAATAACCAAATTAAATAATTAATAAGTGCATACCTTATCTGTTTGTATGCATCACAATGAATATACTAATAAAAGTATTGTTTATAAAACTATATAAAACAAATAAAAACATACGCTCTCCGTCTAACTATCTTTGGGACATGAAGGAGTGACACGGAAATTTAGCAAAATAAGATTGTGGTATGAGATAAAAATATCGGCACATATAAAAAGGGTAAATAGGGACAGAATAGCGGGACGGAGGGAGTATGAATATTACATTTATATCATGAATGAAAATTATTTTTAGAATTAATATGCTAGCATTTTAAATAAGATAAATTTAATCAATGAATAAAACAATTAATTTAAATGCTCTTTTTCTAAATTAGCCTTATAAGCCCGCCCTGCCACTATTATCCCAAATGGCTAAATGGAGCCTTAAATAGCCCATCTGAATATATTTGGGGGGGGGGGGGTAGATTGCATCAAACTGACAACAAGGGACTGCATTGCAATGAGGATTTCCCGTGATGATAAAGAAAGGGAAATAAGCAAACCACTTACCTGGAAAGCAACAGTTTGACAATGGCAATTCTTCCTCGTATGGCACTATGATGCAGTGGAGTCTGGCCTCTCGAATCACAAGCGTTTATATTTGCACCGTGTTGCAAGAGAAGTTCAACCATGGCAATGTCAGCCATCTGGCAAGCAAGGTGAAGAAGGGAACACCCATCAAGAACCCCATTGTCTTCATCACTACTTCCTTGTGCTGGTGGAGGATCAAATGAAGATGAAGGTTGCTCCAGCTGGTCAAATTTCAATGCCAGTGCCAGAGGTAATGATTTGCCGGGTGATGTTTGCCCGTTAATAGCATTGACATCAGCACCATAAACAACGATAAGCCGGTACACTGTTTTCTCGTCATTTGTGTGTACGCCTTCCCACAACTGTTCAGCAACAGAAAGCATGTCGATGCTGTTCTTTACCTTGTGAACATAACGTTTTTCTGCGTACTGTAATTATGAAGTTGTGTATACTCATAAACCATTTTAAGAGAGTATGATTCTCTTTAGCAAAAAAATTGAGCAAACAAACGCATTTAACAAGATACATGAAGGGTGTTCATGATTCACACACGTAAAACACAAGTGTTAAGAATAAGGCAGTGCCTCACTTACAGCAACAACAACAACAACCCCATTAAAATCCGGTGTGTGTATGCAGACCTTACCCCTACTCGGAAGTAGAGAGGTTGTTTCCAAATTCCAAAAGACACCCCTGGCAAGGCTATGCCTCACTTACAACAACAACAACACACTCATCAAAATCCAACAACAATAGGGTCCGAGGAGGGTGTGTGCAGTCTACACAGACCTTACCCCTACTCGGAAGTCGAGAAGTTGTTTCCAAGAGACCCCGACAAGGCGGTGTCTCACTTGAACTTAAAAAGGTGAGAGGTGATGATTGTCAAACACTACTTAATGAGTTCAGCCATTCAATTTTAGTCATTGTGAGTTTGTGACCTTGAAGGGGAGTGTTCACAAGTGTATACTGGGGTAATATAGTAACCATTTCATAATGTATGTTCATACACTACCATTTAAGTGGCAAATGATATAAGGGAATGGTAAGCAAGCTTGAAATGATACCTTTGCTTGAATGAACTTCTCCTTAACTGAGATTTGATCAAAGTGATTGGGCTTGGTGAAAAACCGCTTGTATTTATCGGTCTCAACGAACCTACAACACAAATACTATGTTTATATGTTGCCCTTATCTTCACCATTACCTGAATCACAAATATGTAAGGATTGGTGACATAAAATTAAGTGTCTTGGGTTTTGATCCATGTGGAGATAAACCCCCTCAATTTATGTTGCTTGTACCCACACATATAGCTCACCATTTATAACTACGGAGTAATTTATTTAGGGTCCATTTGGAACCTGGAAATGCCGGAGGGGAAATTTGAATGAAAAAATTGGTTCAAGCTCAATAAATCAAGTTCTATTTATATATCTCTGTTATATAAAGAAAAATTAATCTGAATATATTAAAATGTTCTGATCAATGTCATTTTCAATTGTGTCACTGAAGGTAAAACCAAACATTAAAAAATTGTTTTCCTTGGCATTTCTCCCCCTTTCCCTGCCATTTTCCAGACTTCAAACACAGCCTTATTTATCAGCGATTATTTGAGCCCTATTCTTACAAACTCCCAAGTACCACTTGTAATATCTTTATTCCAATAAAAATTAGAAAAAATATGATGAAAATTGTTTTGGCCATGCTCAGATTTGGAATACACACCTCTTCGGTATCTCATCCGCCTGAAATGTTTTGCTAGCTTGCAACAACTCTTCCCAGACAGAGTTTGCAAAAACATTACCCAGTGTATGAAACAAAGCGATGATGGATGGCTCCCACACTTTAACATCAAGCGCCAAGGATCGCACCTGTCCAAGGTAAACAAACATCCATAAGATAAGAAATCATGATTAATTATTTCCTGCTCTGATATTGTGGTTATACATAACGTTGTTATAAAGTGTCAATAACCTAACCTAACCTAACCTAACCAAGTATATCCCACTTAAGAGTAGGATCTGAATGGAGGGAAGGATGTATGCAAACCGTACCTATACTACAAGGTGTAGAGAGGCTGTTTCAAAAAGGAACCTAGACAAACAGTGACCAGTAGTGTGAGAAATAAAAAACACATGGACAGCATTCACGCACATCCCCTACATGTACTCTATAACTCTAATATGCCACCTCCAGGAACTCCTATTAGAGGTCATATCCTCAAAGAGGTTTAAGACCGCCAAGTCCAATCTCATCTGTTCAGTGCTACCATTTAAATAGAGTTGCGCATGTGATGAGCTTTGTTTGATGGGTAAAAAAAATCATGCCTACGTGTGATGGGCATGTCGAGGATATTTATTAAATTTAATAACAATAATTAGAACCATGTATGAGCTAAAGCTGCTAGATTAGATGTTTACGAAGTTTGAATTTAAATTGCAAATTAACCAAACCAAACAAATCTAGTATAATCCATTCACGAATGCAATCTGGAAAAAAGATTACATGCTTACTTGCCTTTGATATATGTACACCAAGGTTCCGGTGAACACCAGAACATTCAATGCAAATTAGAATGCCAAGATTTAGAGATGCCCAATCTGGTTCGGGTGCACCACAGTCCGCACATTTATCATTCCCTGGCAACCCTTTTAGTGCATCAACCGGTTTTCCTGCATGAATGCTTGCGGGCAGTTGAAGTGTACTTCTTGATGCACAAGTAATACTTTTAGAGGTTATATCCCCTCCAGATGAAATATCTTCAATGGTCATTTGATCATAATCTGGAGGACTTCCAGTAGAACTGCTTTTACAAGCGGGACTGGAATAGAAATGCTGCCATTCAAGGTGTAACTAGTAAGTACAAATCACAGCAGAAAAAAAACACCCTAAGAACATGTATCAAAATAATTGACCATATCTGGTGTCTGGGAAGCAAGCAAAGAAGCAATAACTCCAGTTATTTTTTCAATCCAGTCCATTTGCTCTACTGCACTCTCTGCCTGCATTGTCAAAACATGCATTTTTATTTATGGTATGTTTGGATTTCGGAAAATAGTCACAAGTAAATGAAGGATACATATAGTAAATGTAACTTTATCCTTCATTTTACCTGCAAAGTATAATTCTTAGTTGGAGATATAATCCGGAAGCAGAATCTCAAATCAGATTGTTCGGCATCCTTTTTAATTGTTGATGTCATTAGATTAACAGTGTGCCGTGCTACAGCTTTTTCATCATGTACAGCACCACTGTGGTAATGAGAGGAGAGCCAGCGACTTAATAGCCCCGAAGAACCCGATTCTGAAGAAGAACTTCTATGCGAGGAAGCGTGTGGACTGGAAGTTCCCTGAAACTACACAATTCAGAAGAGAAAATATACGTTCAAAAAGTGATTTAAGAAAAACATTTTCGTGTATGCTTACTGATAGCCTGCCCCATTGTTTCCGATAGTAGTAAAGCATTCCTCGGCTGTCAAGAACAAAGAATCTTCTTTTCCAGTCACCTCTCAAACTTGATGAGCGTTTTGAGAGATACCCTTGCTTTATAGTTTGTACCTAAACTATTGAAACCTTAGCTATAGTAGGAGCGATAAGGATAATTTATGGCATATGTTTTTTTAACACAAGTTCTTTCTCACGGGACTTTAGTGGGTTGTTGTTGTTGTGCTTTCTCAATTAAGCACTTGCACACTTGGTTTGAAGGAGCAGAAGGGAGAAGGAAAGGATTTTGCTCCATTCCCCTTGTTTGGGTTAGAAAAAGAGGGGAGAGAAAGCTATTCTAAAATGTTATTCCGTAACTCTAAACCCTGGTTTTTTTCTTTAGAAATGCATTTCTTCTTTTTGAGTCCGTTTATTTCAACTGAAGAATTGGACTTAACTTACATTAGCTGAACTGAACTGAGTGTTGTATTGATAATTTTCATGAAAGTTCCTTGTTTTATGGCTACATCCATAAAATTTGATGTAGCCATAAAACAAAAAACTTTCATGAAAATTATCAATACAACACCCATTTCTATTATTTGTAGCAATTTCTGCCACTTTTCACAAAATTTGAAGTTCATATGAAAATGATACTCTGCATGTCAGTAGGGGCAGAAAATAAAGTTACTTGTACGTGTAATTTTAATTGAAAAGTGCTGAACTGAATTGTAACTGAAAATACGTGGGAAATTGAAGTAAAAGCACTTTTTGTCCAAAAACAACTTTTATTCCTTGAATCAAGGCATCCTAAATGATACTATTAAACATAAGAAAATACCTTTCCTTCTAAAGTTGACTGCATGACTGCTTCTATTACTTTATGAGAGCCTCTAGGAAAGGATTGTATGGCATCACCATTTTGAAAACTATGGGACCCACTAAAGGTTTGCCTATTTTCTTGATCAACTTTCTTTTGGTATTCTTGCATCTTTTCCAAAAGAGCTGCCTGCTCAGACATATATCTTTCTCGAGTCTTTTGTGAATACGCCAAGAGCTGTGTTACCAAAGAACTCACTTGAATAATAATCTTTTTATAAAAAATATTTTCCGGGAATAATCCCAATTTTGCTAGTTTCCAATAATAACCCCAAGTGACGATATTGTCAAGAACAAATCAAACTTTGTATCCTTCTTCAAATAATGATCTGTGCTCTAACATTGATAGCCTTGTGTTAACTTTTAGATGATGCGACATTTACTTTAATGTTTAATTTGGCTAGATAATTGGCTAGGCATGTCAAGCGTATCGTACATTTCCCTCCTACTCCTTCTATTGCATTCTTCGTAAAAAAAAAGTGAAATTTGTCAACGATACAAATAAACCAAAAGTTTAAGCGGGCGGTTGCAAACCCAGAAAGGGGTTTATACTCTAACTCGCCCCTCACATGAATGCGTTTTTGGGCTTGAAGTGTGGGTGCAGCAATGGCTCTTTCCTATTTTGCGCATAAATCAACATAAGGCTTGGTAAGAGCCTAAGAATTTGTTAGGGGTAAACCGGGGGTCTTATCAAGTTGATAATTTAGTGGCGGATGTGCGGAGGAAAATGGAAGGGAAATAGTGGGCGAAAGTATGGAGGGTGTTTTAGGAGTTCTTTTTTGGTATTTTATGGAAGAAAAAGAATAGGATTAAGAAGGAGAAATGGAGGGATATGAAATGGAAGAAATATCACGGATGGATAAAACCAAGTTGGTGTTAGGAGATATTACACACTCTTATCCTAACTTGGGGTTTGAATCTAGAATTCAATTAAGATATTACACACTTAATCAAATATCTAGAACCTAAAACTCACACTTAAGATAACCACTCTTAAGATATAGAATTAGGAATTTGGCTAAAATAGCATCACACTATTTTAATAATACTCAAAGAGTAAATGGTTTTCAATATTCAAAGATGTGTTACAATGGCCATATGGCCTGAGTTATATAGGGAGAGGGGAAGGGGAAAATACATAATACATTGAATGTGAACATGAGGAAGCTTCCTAGCAACATCCACTTCCAAAGNCTCATTGAATCCTGTCTCCAAAGTGGGATAAAATTCAGGGATGGGGCTGGGGTTGTGGGGGTTTTGAGCTTTGGTATGTAGTGGTTGGTTCCTGGGTTTTAAGGCTATTATTTGGGTAAAAATGAGGGGTTGTGTTTGGCCAATAAAAGGGGACAGGGCTGGGCAATATTAGGGGTGGTTTTGGACATATGGGTTTGGGTTATTTGTGGGGGAACATGGGCAGGGATTAGTGGTTTGTGGTGGGTCAGGATTTTGGCTCTTTTTGGGTGTTGTGTTGGGGTTGTGAAGTGTATTTTGTCCAGGGGATGAATGGAATAAAGGGAGGGTTTTATTTGTTTAATAAAAGGCTTAAAAGAAGGAAAATAACAACAAACAAAAGGTTTTATTTTACACACTTATTTTCTGCCAGGGCTAAAATAAGAGTAGGAAAAGCTTTATTTTGAAATGAATTAAATGGCAAGGAGTTTTGGATGTTTAGGGTTGGGTTGGACGGAGTGGGATTTGGTCTGCGGAAACCTTGGGTCCGAAGATATTCAGGCCTCTCGGGTTGAAGGACCTGGAATTCTCACTAAAACGGATCATAATGTTTGAACGTAAGTCCTTTGGTTTTTGCGAGGGTGTAGGACATGGGGGAGGGTATGATAGGGCCAGGCCCGGGTATAACAGAATTGAAATTGCCACCTCTAAGAAACTCAACCAAAATTTTAAGTAGATGGTTGGAGGTCCTAGAAAGGCTTTATACTACTCCCTTCGTCCTAAAACTATCTTCTAGTTTACAATTCACTCGGTCAAACTTTATCTACTTTGCAAGCCTATTTCGTTTCTTACTTGATAAAATAATATAGTCATGTCACCTCTAGTTTCATAGATCTTTGATGTAGTTTTTAAATATATAAATTTTAATTTTAAATTCCAAGCCACTTCTCCAATAATTTGTTATAAAAATAACTTCAGTCAAGCATCGTAAACCGTAACGAGAAGTTAATTTTAAGATAGAGGGAGTATGAGACAATTCATGTCTATGTGATATCGAATCTCCATCTCTCACAAGTGGAGGTAAAGTCAGCATACATCTCACCCTCCCAAACCCCACTCGTGGGATGACACTAGGTTTGTTGTTGCTTGTTTTTTTGTAAAATAAGTGAAACTCATGCTACCATTGCAACATCACAAAAAACTAATGAGCTGTTAACGATGAAAGTGTGCAAATTATTAATGGGAAATTGAAGCAAACTTGGGATTATTCTAAGCAGTATCATCACTTGGCACCATTATTGAAAAACCAAATCAAACTTGATATTAATCCCAGTAAATTTTCATTTAAAAGAAAAGGACAGACTATAAGTAAAAAGGAAGAAAGCCAAAAAGAGAATAAGTGAAAGGACAATCACTACACTAGATTTTCTACATCATAAAAGTACAAACTAGTGATTCACCTGGTTGATATAAGGCTCCATCTGATGTAAAAGCTCATACCCCTGGACCGGGAAAATTAAATTTATATTGCAGCATTATAGTATTGTATAGAAAGAGTAAAACTATAAAGTCCCATTGCTTCAGTACCTGCTTGAAGTAACGAAGATGAGCATCCATTGTACACGTAACAGCTTCCAAAAACTCAAACTTCTTTTTTTCATCAATAGAGGAAAGAGCTCCAAACTGTATGGACCAATAAAAACTCAGAGTTGGGTGCATGGTCATTCCGATTCATTCAGTTAAAATGGGTGCAGGCCACCCCATAAAGATTCCAAGATGTGAGGTTTAACCTCACAATTATATTCTACGTACTAGACACTTCCGCTAAGGGGCATGCCCCCCAAGTGGGGATGCATGGTCATTCCGATTTATTCAGTTAAAATGGTTGCATTACATGTGTTCATTGCAAATGTCCCTAAAATAGTATAATGTAACTCCCCTTGCCGCTTACTTTCTATGAAGTAAATACAACAGTGCATCAAGGGTCTAACTGAAAGTCTCTATGTTTTTCATAGAAGGCCGCATATATCTTGACCCCCCCCCCAACAGAGCCAAAATAATACTCGGTTAGTTGTTGTTGAGGTTGTAAATTTACACCTGCAACTCCTCCACCCAAAAATAAAACCTCTCAAATAGTCTAATTTTAGTACTTCCTCTGTCTGAAAATAAAATTTCACTTTACAATTCACGGGCCCACCCATATTTTCTTTCCTTACAAATCATTTCATTAATCATTTGATGAAATAAAATATTCAAGCCACATCTTGTTTTGTAGAACTTTTGATGTTATTCCTACATATGATTTTTATTTTTTAGTTCAAGGCCAACTTTTCAATGAATTGAATTGAAAAATCTTCAGTCAAATATCATAAACCGTTAGTGGAGCATTACTCTAGGAAGGAGTATAAATTATTCATGCGTACTAAAGTATTTTGTGCCCCTTGAAATAATCTCTGGATTAGTTAGGGATACTAGACCCAACTTCAGTACATAACAGATGTGAGATATTCAACACATTATTATTATTTTTTCACTATTCATAAAGAAAAGTAAAATTTTGAAATAAACAAACTTTAACTCACCAGATTAAACCGGGCATTCTCAAAACTCGATCTTGACTGGTGAAGTTCCTGGAACGGCTCTCTACCAAATTAGAATTCATTGAGGATAGTTACCCATGATATACTATACGTTCAACTAATGATAGAAAAAGTGATCTTTACTATAATATAAGAAGTGTTGCGTATACCTCCTCAATGGCCACACATATGTCCAATCTCGTGTTTTTCCTTAGCGCCAAAAATTTTTCACGTGCCTGATGGTGAAAATGAATGCTTTATTTAGAACTTCAGTTCTAGGAAAACTTGAGACCCCATATTGAATCATAAGAGCAAATAGTTAGGTCAACCTTATAAGAGAAGTAGCACATCTTAACAAACAACTAAATTGACTTACCACCAAGTAATGCTTTAGTACTTGAAATTCTATCTTAAAAGGTTAACCCGATCGACAAGAAACATTCCCAAGTCCCCCAACCCTAGATAGCCTCATATAGCTTCAGATAACCTTAGGAGCGCCACTCTACTAGACTTTGTTTCCTAATTCCTAAAACCCGATTTTTATTATTCTCAAATTTGATGGTTAGTTAACACATGTTCAGTTTTATAAATATGAATGACAATAGGTTCATATCAAACTAAATACAACCGACGATGCATTAAATCTGAATAGTAATACTATGCAAGGGCAGATAATTCATAGAAGAGACGTATACTTTTAGTTCCTCAGTTGTGATACCTACCTGATCATAGATTACATTTGCTTTGTCAAAACGCTTCCGAGCTTCCTGCAAAAATGTAATTTCCTCATAGCACATGAAAGCTACACAAAGGGAACTAGGGAAGACCTGTCTATTTATTCAAATTTCAAACATTGATTGAGGAGAGTGAGTAGTGCTCCCAATGTGAAAACAATATATACAATGGGGCATTGAATCCAATATGATGGCATTGGTACTCGGTAGAAAGTTTCATGGTAATAAACCCAAAAACATGTAAATGATATAACGTGGACTACTCTATTAAATTGGGGGTCAACCTCACTCTCAGCCCAAGTCGGCATAAATAACTAAATGTGTGGAGAAATGTGCCCAACTGACCATGAAACAAAGGGTGCCCATACCATCGAGTGGGTCGGCGTCCCATAAACAAACTGAGCCTAGCTCATCCCCAGAAGGAACTACAGATGTGAGATCTACCTTGCATCTATATTCTATATACTCCCTCTGTCTCAAAAACAAGTTTACACTTTCGGGCTTTCCTTTTTTGGTTGTCCCAAAATCTCCTTAGGATTTCCATTTGTGGCATGGACTTTACATCTACTTTACAACTTTACCTCGACTACCAACTACAATTACTACTTTTTCATACTTTTTACAGCTTTTTACCTTAAAGTAGGGGCATTTGAGTAACATTCTTTATTTTCTTAAACCTCGTGCCATTCTCAAATGAGAACTTGATTTTGGGATGGAGGAAGTATGAGACTTAACTGCAATAGAAGACTGATAAGGAATACTCAACATAGTCTAGCACATAACTGACATAAGGGTGGGGTAAATCATCTCACTTCTTCACACCCAATTTAACATGGCCTATAATGATTATATACATAACATACCTTTACATGAGGAAGCTCAACCATGGCTAAGTGTTGTAGCCTTTCAATTAGAACATCCTCTACCTAAGAAAGAATCAATGCATGTCATTGAAAATCAAACACAGAATAAGAGAATGATGCCTTAAAATTTGATGTTGAGCTTAAAATGTTACTCCTAAAATATTAAATCATAATGGCACAAGAAATCCTTATGATATGAAATGAATCATGGCATCATGCATAAAGTTGCAACAATACTACTACCTGTGATCGTAGAGTTTCCTTGTATGTTCCTATTTCTCTCAAGGCTATTGCACAATTCACCATATCAGGACCTAGGGGTGTAATTGTCAAAGAAAATAAAAGATTAACAACAATGAACAACCACAATAATAACTGATGGAAGATGAAGAATTCAACAATTTTTATTCATAATTGTATGAATTGCATTAAGTGGGATGAGATTCTTAAGGAGTTAATATAGACCTCCAAACGCCACGGAAGTTTGATCATCATGCACTCCTCCAAAGACTTCAAGGGCACTAGCAAAAGAAATGTCTCTGTCATATGCTTCTAGAAGCCCTTCCCTGTGACGTAAAAATAATTAAAAGTTGTAAGAATGGTAGTGTGTGATCCTTAAGGTGATACAGTCAAACCTCTCTATAACAATCCTCCTCTTTAACAACAATTCACTATAACATCCATAATTCTTTTAGAAGAGATTTTTTATGAGTATTACTATGTATTATTTTTCTATAACATTTTTCTATCTATAACAGACATCCATAACTGGATCAATACCGTGTTTGTAAAAATAACTCTCTACAACAACTTATCTTCATTAAATACAATACATTCAGCACCATAGTAATAAATTTGATTTGTCTTTATTCTAAATAAAGAATCCCCTTTAATACTTTGTGTTTACTCCTCAAGGTCCAAAATATGAATTGCCTCTTTATTACTCCGCATTGACTCCATGAGACACAAAATATGAATCACGAGTTCAAGTATTTCATCATTGCTAAGAAGTTAGAATTAGACCTGGCAAAACTGACCCGGACCCGATAACCCGAACCGAATAACCCGGAACCGACCCCGATTTGACCCGAAAACTGAAGAACCGAAATAGACCCAAGCACCCGAAATGATCCGAACCGAACCGAGCCCGAACCGAATGTATTCAGACCCGATTCATATCCGAATCCGATTAAACCCAAACCGATAAAACCCGAACCCGGTTAAACCCGGAACCGATTAGACCCGAAATTGATTAAATTTTATGTACCACTGTGTTAAATAATAAAATAACTACGGAGTATATCATAATTTGATTAAATTTATTATGTGATATTATTGATTTATTAGTAAACATTTAAAATATATCTGAACTAATATAAACCTAAATCGAAACAACCCCGAATCGATATAAACTCGAACCGATACAAACCCAAACCGATACAAACCCGAACCGAAACCGAAAACCAGTCAACCCGAAATAAACCCGGAACCGAACTGACCCGACTCGAACCGACCCGAACCGATTATAACATATATCCGAATGAGACCCGAACCGAAAAGACCCGAATCGGAACCGAACCGATTGACCCGATTGGCAGGTCTAGTTAGAATCTAGCAAACAATTTGCAATCATAAAATCTCTCCATTAACTCCAGAAAATATATCTACAATACAAAACGTGAAATATTGAATTTTTCTCCAATTTCTCTTGGAAATTGCTGCTTTATGAAAATCCTTTGGATTTTCGTATATGGAGTTCAAAATAATGAATATTCGAATGTACAAATCAATACATCCGAATGATGTGTTTATCCAGTGCATCCTGTGGGAAACTGCTCGATACATTCGAATGTTTGAACCCAAACATTCGAATGTTTCACGATAAGTTGCAACGGTTCGCACTTAACTATAGAAGTAACTGTTCAATCCAATCTGCCATTGAATATTCGAATGTTAGAGCTCCAACATTCAGATGTTACCCGAAAGTAGGTTATTCCATCAACCAACGCGTCTGTTAGATATTTGCCTATAAATATGGCACCTTGGTATGTTTCGAGATGCGGCCAGAAATTTCATACTCGTTCTAGATTACTTATGTCTTATCCGATTAAAATATTTTGGTATACCCCAAAAGAACTTTAACCTGAAAGCGTTTATACATGATTCGCTAAGTCTATCAAGTCGTTCTTCACCTTTTTCGTACACCGATCCTATAACGCTGCTTCGTAGCGTTGTTATCCCCCCATTTCCCCAACAGTAGACTGGGGCCTAAGGCTTAATAAAGTATTAAACCGGGTTATGCACAATCTAAGTAAAAAATGCACGGGAGCCGGGTCCTAAGAGGGGAAATGACCAATGTGCACATGCTTCATCCTTTGTATTCTCTACCTTCATATTAATAATCCATTTCATTTTCATTATAGAAGAAACATAAGAATGAATGGTTAACTAAATTATCATATTAATAACTGAGTTGATATATCAGGGGATGAAAGACGTACGAGTATTTTCGGCATCCTTTGCAAAACTTCAGGCATTTCTCCTTCAATACCTCAGCATTTTCCTCCATAGATTGCATCTAATTAACCACACAAAAAAAAAGTCAAGGCCTCCATCACTTTATGTGATGACATATCCGGAGTACGCAAATAGAAGGGAATATCATTAAGGCTATGGGCGGTGGATTCCATACACTTATAAAGAAGCCCAAATAAGTCTCCACATTCCATGGGACGCTCTCAAACCACCCCATAAAACAAATTTTCATTGGGACAAAGAAAAAGTAGATAATTATTTTGGATAATCTTGGTCCTTGCACCGGTCTTGATGAAAGGGGGTTATGCGCAAAAACAAGCAATAAGATCAACAACCTTAAGGCAATAAGTAGTAGGATTCTATACACTTACAAACATGTTCAAAAAAGTATCCACACAATAGAATTTGTTTAACTTGTGCGTATCAATGAATTGGATGAACAAACAATCAAACAGAACCAAAAAAAACCCAAATATTCCTGAACAAGTTTATATTGCTGAAAGTCTGAAACTAAAACACATTTTCGAAGGATGAGAAAAGAGACCTGCTGGCGAAACATAGGCGAGTCATCGAGGCTGCAGGGGGGATGAGCCGCGCCTTCAGGCATCGGATCAGAACCGGCAAACCCCAAAATATCAATCCCGAGAAAACCCAAAGCTCCGACCCGACGCGAGATTATTGACCAACAGCATCCGATCGATAACAGCAACAAAACCCCCCCAATTCAGATCCGCAGTTCAACTATTATGACTGAAATTTTGAGGGGAAAAGAAGAAGAAGAAGAAAGTAATGATAATTGAAGCAACCTTGAAATGAATCGAGGGTGAAATTGCTGGAGATGGTAAAATGGCAGCGAGAATGGAGGAAGGGAGTATCATTGTCTGGTCGTAGAAAGGTGAGATTTTTCATGGCCGTCGAAGAATTGCTTCCATTGGCTATGGAATGTTGGAGCGCAATTCTCTCTCTCGAGCTGGTTTCGGTTTTCATGGCCTGGAAGACGAGGCAATGCGCGCCAGCACAGTTCAGACTTCCGATTCGTGCCATTTAAATGGAGGGATGCTAACTATATACTTAAAAGCTAGGGAATTTTTTCCCGTCCATGTGATGCTAATATATGAAAATTGTTTAGTACTTTAATTATTTTGCCTCTATACATGTGAAGCATATATGGATACTATTGAATGATATGTTTCGTGTGACTCCTTACATGGTAAGTATTACTTGCCATTATTTTTGGTTTAATTTCTATTAATTACTAATTAATATATTTCCATTTTAATTTAATCAATGGTAAGTGTTGCAGTGTCATTCTTGGTTTCTATAAAAAAAATTAACAATAATAATAATTGCTAACCTAAGCAAACAATTTTATAATAATAAAAATATTATTATTATTATATACTCTGTAATAAATTTTCAAAATATTGTAAACTAAAAGGAATTAATTAGTTATACCTACAAAGTAATATGTCCTCTAATTTTGTAAACTAAATTTCCGTGAACCTAACTACACAGTTAAATGCGATGATATTTATTTAAAAAACAATTGTTTCCTTTTCAGTTTTTTTGTATAAATAGTGATAAATGTCGTGTTGAGAATAACATATCCCCTTATCGACATTATATTATATTATTTACGCTCTTTAATACAAATATTAGTAAATAATCATGGGTGTGTGGTTGACATTCGACAAAACTAATGCTATAAAATTATAGGTAATAGAATATTTTAAATTAAACTTATTTGATCGAATATATTTTAAACTAAACTTATTTGATTATAAGGGTAGAACTAAAAAAATATGATGCTACTAAATTATAGGTAATATAGTTATATTTTTTATCAAATAACTAATTAAAATAATCAAAAAAATAAATTAAGTTTGACCGTGCAAATAGCACCAAGAAAAATAGTTTTAGAATGGCACATCTATCTATGATCTACTCCCTCCGTCTTAAAACTTTCTTCTCAGTTTGACTTTTTCCCATTTTTAATCTTGGAAACAGCCTCCCTACTTCCGAGTAGGGGCAAGGTCTGCGTATACACACCCTTCCCAGACCCTATTGTTGTGGGATTCACCTAGGTTGTTGTTGTTGACTTCAAATTTTACTCTCCTTAAAAAAGATTTTTTGCACATTTTTTTTGCAATCATTCAAAATATAGAGTTAGAAGATAATTGATGTAAATACATGAAGGTATTAATATCATTTGTCATCTTTTTTTCTAATGGGAAGGTAGTTTTAGGACGGAGAAAAATGGAAAGTGAAAAGAAAGTTTTAGGACAATGTAACACTTCCCAATTATCTTCATGTACAAATAATTATCTTTCCTTTTTTACTTTATATTTATTTTATAAAGTTATATTTATAAGTTATATTTATAAGTTTTTATAAGTTATATTTATAAGTTTTTATATTTTCTAACCTAAGCAAACAATTTTATAATAATAAAAATATTATTATAAAATATTATTATAAAACAATTTTATAATTTTTATAATAAAAATTATAAAAATATTATTATAATTTTATAATAATTATTTGTACGTATTTTAAAAGGAAAGATAATTACCCTATTCAACAAATAATTATCTTTCCTTTTTTTACATTATACGTATTTTAAATAAGGTAACTTCATTATAATCAATGTAATAATATTATTAAAAAATGTACGTTTCTTTTTTGTGGGTACCATGTATAAAAAATTACTATCTTAAAAAAAAAACGTTGCCTTGAACAAAAAAATATTCTCACATCTTAAAGTATCCATATTAAAATTACAGTTGTATTTCCATTTATACTTTTTAGGTATTTTAAATAAAGTGTTTTTCTTATATACGGTTTGGTAAGAAAGAATCATAAATACACGTTGATAATTAAAAATTTAAGTTAAAAAAGGAATGTTGAAATGGTAAGTAACACCAACCGTGTAATTTGGCCAAAAATATTACATTGTAATTTTAAAAATAAAAATTTTGAAAAAGGAAAATAGAATAAGCCAAAAACTTTTCATAGTATAAATGCGATCATTTACCAGGATTTTCGTAATTAGTTTCTTTCAAGTGCACTTTTAAATATGACCGTTAAAGAAAAAATTTAATTTAGTAACGTAAATATGACCCGTGCAACGCGCGGGTGTGATACTAGTTCATCACAAATACAAATACTAAGCTTAGGTCATCTCAAACCATTTATACCAAACTCAAATTCAATAAATTTAGAAAAATTTGTTGAGTTTGTTGCACCAAAATTCCATGTGATTTAGTAAATGTATATTGTTACCACTTATAGTTTTAAAATGAGAGATTTGCCTAGATAGGAGTAAAAAATCTATGAAAATATCAAAACAAGAGTCTTAAGTCTTTTAAAACCAAAATAAAAGTATAATGACATTGTGATGTAAGAGTCTGTGTTGGCAGTGTGATGGAAAAGTGATGACAGCATAATATATCAGTATCATCTGCAGCGGTAGTGATGTGGCCGGCAGTGACAGATGACGGTGATAATGCAGCAGTTACATACAATTTGACAATGTGGTGAGTTTGGCAGTGTAACAATAACAGTGTGACTTTCTATTTTGCCCATAAATGACTTAGGACTCCTATTTTAGTATTTTATAGTTTTTTTTGCTCATATCTAGAGAGTTCTCCCTTTTCTAATTGTCAATCCCTAATTTCTAAAGTCCCAAAATTAACTTTCTCCATTGTGAGAATTGACTGAGAAGGAAGAAGAGGCCAGAGCTCCAATGGAACAAAACAAATCCAGCGAGGAGAAGAAGAAGCCAAAGAAGAAGAACAAGCTAAGCCAACTGAAAAAAGTAAAAAAAAAAAAAAAATTCAGGCCAACGCGGCAAACCGTCGCATCGCAATGGAAGGTCGTCCGTCCGCAGCGTTGTGTTTCAGTCCCGACTAGGCGCCGCGACTGATTTTCCGTTGGTCGTCGTCCTGCAATGGAGGCGGGGCACGATAGGCCTGGTTTTTCTTCCAGTGTAGCGGGTTTGAGTGAAAGTGCTCTGAATGCTTAGGGGCTGTTTGTTTCAGCCTCTTAAATGGTTCAGATGTCTGAATGGTTCAACACTTAATGGTCAGACTGTTTGTTTCAGCCTCTTAATGGTTCAGATGTCTGAATGGTTAAGAGATTTGCCTCTAAATGGTTAAGTATTATACAGAGTCTGAATGGTTAAGACCTCTTATCTGAATTGATCAGACATTTGCCTCTGAATAGTTAACCAATATACGCTCTTAATGGTTCAGACCTCTTACTGGTTCAGCACTTAATGGTTCAGACCTCTTACTGGTTCAGCACTTACCGATTCAGAAGTTGCCAAACAGCCGCTTAGATTCTCTTTGCTACGTAAGAAGTAGACCCGATCAATGTTCAGGCCGGGCGGGCCGTGTTTGGGGCTGGGTCGAGAGGATACATTACAAGAGTTGCAGGTCGGGCCTAAAAATGAAACCCAAGTCCGGCCCACGTGTATACCCGCGGGTTTCGGGTCGGTCCGATCCGGTCCGTATTGATAATAAATTGTGAACATTAAAAAAATTCAACACTTTCTTTAAAATATTTCAAAAAAAAAAACTCAAATTTTAAACATCAATACATCGATTCAGTGTGTATATTTTAGCAAAAAGAAATGGTACGGTGTATATATATATCACGGAGTATAAACTATAGCACATGCTTTAATTCGCACTAAAATATTTAGTGAACACATGAATAAAAATAAATAATGAATAATATTCCATATATTTTTTTAAGTAATAATATTTGTATATAACAATATATATTCTATACTACTCCAATAACTTTGATACTTTTCTACTCCCTCCGTCCCTGAAAACATTTCTCCTTTCTTATTTCATCCGTACCAAAAAACACTTCTCATTTCTATTAAAAAGTCACTTTTACCCCTTATTTTTTCATATCCTACCTATCACATCATACCTTTTTACTAATATCTATCCATCAAATCATACTTTTACCCATTACATCAAAGGACATTTTTGGAAATTCAATACCAAAATATACTCCCCTTAAATTCCTTTTCAAAATCAAAACTTACATGTTTTCCAGAATGGATAACGTATGTTTTAATTCTATTTAGGGTGATTTTTCTAAAATTTTATTAAACGGTCTTTAATTTCACACAAATTATTTTAACTTTGGTCTTTCAGCACAAGATACACATTTAAAAGTTTCCATCACTATGAATTTACTCAATCTCTGTTTGGTTTGAAGTTTATTCCTATAAATCAACTAATACCGAGTATAATGTATAAAGTGATGTGTAGAAAAAGTCTAACAACAACAACAAAAATAATACTCCCTCCGTTTGGAAAAAATGTTCATATTTTGACTTTGTGTAAAAATAAGAAAGTACTCCCTCCGTCTCTAAATAGATTACAATCTTTTTTTCTCTCTCCTCTCGATAACTTTTGTTTGTTTACGCGATTTCATTAAGTATTTGATAAAATAAAATATTCTTGTCACCTCTTGTTTTGTAGAACTTTTTGACGTAGTTTTTTAATATATAATTTTTATATCTTATTGATATACCAATTTGTAAATAAAATGATTTCAAAAAGTAGGAAATTTTACTCCGTAACCCGCAATTTGTAATCAAATTGGGGACGGAGGGAGTATTAAATTGTAGTTGACTTCTAATTTTGCCCTTGATGTGATAGGTAAAAGTAAGATGTGATGGATAGATTATTAGAGATAAAGTATGATGTGATAGGTAGGGTATGAAAAAGTAAGGGTAAAAGTGGTTTTTTAATAGAAAGTGGAAGTATTTTGTTGGAAGTGAAAAAAATGAAAGAGGAAGTGTTTTAAAAAACGGAGGGAGTAATAAAATTTCTAATTAATAATAATAATAATAATAATAATAATAATAATAATAATAATAAATAGTGCATACCCCGAGTAGTTATTGATAATAAGGAAGTAATTAAAAATCTTCTGCAACAAGTCACCACAATCCAGTTTAAAATTCAAATAGGATTAATATTGGCTTAATTGTTTTAATCATAATAATTGTTTTGGATAAACTACGTTCTAATTTATTTACGATGAACTTATCAAGATCCGATCTTTGCTAATATTTACTTGTTTATATTTTTTTTTAAAACAAGTCCTATTTTAATCTTATTAGCAGATTTATTTTTCGAATTTCATTTTCCAATTACGTTCTTAATTTTGAAGAGGAAAAAAAGACAAATCGTCATCATTTAAAATGCCACATATGTATTTTGCTTAGTTGCCAGCCCAGAGTATTGGTATAAAATTAAACAATTTTTGGGAGCAGCAGTGTAAATTATTCAATTTCGAGTATTAATGTAAAATCACAAATTCCTTGGAGTATTTGTGTGAATTTTTCCTTGAATTAAAAATAACTTCAGTCAAATCTCAATTTTATTTGGAAATATTGTTTTTCAATTAACACTAGTGTTTTGGATAATTTTCTAGTGATACATATTAACATTGAAAATACTGTTATTAGATGACCTTTTGTTAAATATTTGATCCGTACATTCACTTTGACTATAAAAAAAGAATTCTAGTTTGACTTTTTGGTCAACTATCTATCCCCTTCGACTATTAATAGATACAAGTATAATTTTAAACACCTTGGTTCCCATGGCTCTTAAACACCTTGATTCTCATGACATTGATTCTCAATGTCATGGGATGACCCGGGGTGCTCTGGTGCCCCGTTCGCAAAATTGACGGTTCCTACCCCCCTAATCACCAACTCTCCCACCCCGCCCCGACCCAAACACGCCCCCCCACTCCCAAATTGATTTTGACTTTGGAATCGAATTTTGACATTGGTTCCGGATCACCCCCAGATCATCCCATGACATTGGTTCCGAATGTCTTGAGAACCGGCCTCAATTTCAAATAAATAGTAAATGTTAGAAAAAAAAATTGATCGGTATATTATAACTAACCAAATAATTAAGAAAATTAAATTCAAACAGTAGGAGTGTTTTTTTTACGATTTATTAAAAAAATACAGAGGGAGAATAAAACGGAATTATTAAAATAATATATACTCTGGGTAAAGGGGAAGTACAATTACACAAGAGTTGGAATGAAACCGGGACTCTTAATTAATAATATTACTATTTTAATAAATACTCCGTATTAATTAAATTATTACGTATTATTATTCCTATCCAATTTAAAACTAGCAAATGGATATGTTACGTAGGAATGAAACTGGATTAGTATTATAATTATTATAAATCTTAAATAATAACAATAATAACTATTATTCCTATCCAATATAATATATATATCACAATCATCATTATCTAAATATATATAGATAGATTCTTATCCAAGATTTAAACAACTACATAAACCCCCAAAGCCTTCTTCTTCTTCAAATCTATCTCTCCCTATCGATCTATTTCGATCATCTCTCTCATCAATTCCTTATTCTTTAATTTCTTATTCTTCTTCTTCAAATATTTCTTTTAATCCAAAAGAAAATCAACATTAAGAATAATGGTTAGCGCCGGATTAGTTCGTACCATTGTTGGTATCATCGGTATGTTTAATTTCTTCTTCTTTTTCTCGGTAATTAATTAACGTAAGAAAATATTAATATTGTCATTAGACAGTCTTTTATTTAGCCAAAACTAAACGCTGAAACTGCTGTCAAACGGATCCATTGTATATATTTATTTTTTAAAATTTTTTTAGTAATTAATTAATGTAAGAAAATATTAATATTGTTAGATAGTCTTTTTTTGCCAAAACTAAAACTGTTGTCAAACGGATCCATCGTATATATATATTTTTTTTAATTAATTATTTAATTGTTTGTGTTATTTTGATACAGGGAATATTATCTCAATCGGACTCTTCCTCTCGCCAGTGTAAGCAATAATAATAATAATAAATAGATTTATTTATTTTATTGTTATCATATAATATTATGGATCGTTATTTTGTTAATAATATATTTATTTATTTATATTATAATATAGGCCGACGTTCGTAAGAATATGGAGGAAGAAGGACGTGGAGGATTTCCAGTTTTACCCCTACGTAGCGACGGTGTTGAATTGCATGCTGTGGGTGTTTTACGGGCTCCCGATAGTGAAGCCGGACAGCATTTTGGTGGTCACCATTAACGGCGCCGGCCTTGTCATTGAACTCACTTATTTGGCCTTTTTCTGCTACTATGACAAGTACAACAAGGGAAGGGTAATTCCGTCTTTTCCCTCTATTATTTATTATTATTATTATTACTATAATTATTATTATTATTATCATTAATTATTATTCCCTTAATTACTATTATTATTATTTGTTCTATTCTTAAAAGATTGTCACAATTTAATTTTTTTGTCAATCGCGTTACCCTTTGACTAAGAATTATAAAAACGTATACTTAGTTACAATGAAAATTTTGTATAATTAGCCTTAATTGGGTTTATTTTAAAATATGTCTTCGAATATCAAATTTTTATGATATTTAATTATTTTAAATCATATTTAAATCGTGGTCAAAGAGTGGCAGAGTTTGACGGAGGAATTATTATTATTATTATTATTGAGAAGTGGTTGGATGATTGTATTTCAAAAACAGATTACTCCGATCCGTATGATTGATTAGTTACGGATACGTTGTATATACAAATAAAGTAATTTATTAAAATAGTGATATAATTCTAATTATAATTAATTATATTTTTACTCCTTCAAGCAATTTTTTTACGGACTAATTTAGAAACTTATTTAGGACTCCATATTTAAGGATAATTGCATGTCATCAAATATATATGTTCTTACTCCCTAGCTCAAGTTGTTTTCTTTGCAGGCTAATTTAATAATTTATTTAAGGATTATTTACTTAAATAACAATAAAACAAAATGATTTTTCCTAACTAACATCATATGTTTTTTTCTAATGTAACACTTTTAGCTATTATTGATTAATCATTATTCAAGTAAATATTTGTCATTATTCCTCCTTCAAGCCATTACTAAGTGCTATTTAGAAAAATGACTTAAGTTTTAGAGCTATTTAGTGTAAATATTTCTTTAATTTATTCAATTGACACATAATTTGTGATTAATCGATTAACTAGTTCAATTTAAGATCTTATGAATGAATTAACTAATTATATTTTATTTTATTTGGGTGATTAATTATTAAATATAGAAACAAGTGGGGCTATATCTATTGGGAGAAGTGTGTTTCATGCTGGTGATAATCCTGATAACTCTGCTGTGCTTCCACACCCACGACAAAAGGAGTTTATTTGTTGGGGTTTTCTGCGACGTTTTCAACGTCTGCATGTACCTTTCCCCTCTTCTCGTCGTGGTACGTACATACATACCCATCTCTCTATTATCTCTCGGCTCTGTTTTTTCATTTAATTTAATACAAATACTTTACTAATATTTTTCCCTTCTATTTCTTTTAATTAGCTCTACACTAGGTATCTGTGTTTAATTTTATTTGTCACGATCTTTTTGGTTAATACTACTTCCGTTCCAAAAAAAATTCTTTACCGTTTAATTTTTTTGATCAAATATTGATAACAAAATGTATATAAATATAATGGAAATTTAGTGTAATTAGATTAATTTTAAGGTGTAATTTTGAGATACTAGCTTTTTATACCATTTATTTATTTAAAAATATATTTATTAATGGTCAAACTATGCAAGAATTTGACCCAAAAAATCAAACTATAGAAAAACAATTGGATGGAAGGATATTATTTTCTCTTTGGACCAAAATCATTTTCTTATTTTTCCCTTTTTAATATATATATATATATATATATATATATATGTAGATTGAATATATGAATTAATACTTAAATAACATTAAAACATAATGATTTTCCCAAAATAGCACCACATGTGTTTTTCTTTTCAATGTAGCATTTTTAATCACTATGCATTAGTCATTATTCAAGTCAGTATTCGCCATCACTGGACATTATGGACATTATTAAGTGCTATTTAGGGAATAAAACATTTTAAGTGCTATTTAGGAAAATGACTTAAGTTTTAGTGTTATTTAGTGCAAATATTTCATATTAAAAACTGAACCATGCATGTTGAATACATTATTGCAGAGAAAGGTTTACAGAACAAAGAGTGTGGAGTATATGCCATTCTCTCTCTCACTTGCCAGCTTCTTGAATGGCCTCTGCTGGTCAGCTTATGCTTTTATCAAAGTCTTTGATAAAGTCCTCTTGGTAAGCTCTTTGTTTATATATATATATTCACTAATTATACTCTTTGGATGTTTTCTGTGCTTATAATAATTAAGTTAATCAAAACTATTTATAAGTTATTTTTAATCTGTAAATTGCTCAAATATATATGTAAATCTTACATACTTATGTTTTTATTAAGTTCGTCTTTATGTTTCTTCTTTTTTTTTTGACAAATCATTTACAAAACTATACATAATAATTTAAAATCATCTCGAAATGACTTATTTCACATTTAAGTCAGTTTATAAAAGATACTTTTTACGTTTAAAGTAAAAACTTACCAAGCATTTATATATCAACAACAAGTCAATAAATATAAAAAACATCCCAATATATTCTTATTTTACAATATCATTTAATACGGATTATATTATTATTATTTTCTCATTAATTATTAAAAATAAAAAAAAATGATTATGCAGATTAGCAATGGTCTTGGAGCTTTATCTGGAGCAATACAACTGGTGGTTTACACGTACTATGCATGGATTTACACCCCACCGGGTAAACCCAATAATGCGGAGGTTCAGCTTCCGGCCGCCGGAACGCCGCCGCCGCCGTCCACCGCCGCCATGGTTTAGTTATATATTCAAGTCAGCCGCGCCATTAGTTATATAGAGGTTTCTGATCTGATGATGATCTCGCGGCGGCCGGGCCTCACAGATCTAGGGTTTACTTTATTTATTTATTGTAAACCCATCGAGAAGAAATTGCGTTTTTTATTTGTTTTTTTAATTTAGTAGGGTATTTAATTATTTATTATAGGTACTTTTAATCTTTTGATTTTTTTTTTTTCGTTTAGACAGTTAGTAACAATTTTAATTTCCATTCAAAACCAATGCAAGTAATTAAGTTTGAAGAATGCTTTGATATAATTTGGTGCCTATTATTATTATTATTATTATTATTATTATTATCTCTTTCATAAACATATATTCATTTGATAATTCAGAGTCTCTTACAATACTTTTTTTAGCACTTCAATACTTTAATTTATGCATAAAGTATTTTTCCTAGGGAGTATTATTATTATTATTATTATTATTATTATTATTATTATTATTATTATTATTATTATTATTATACTGCGCAACAGAAAGTGTGTGCAATTCAACTGTGGGCATGTGAATGTATGAAAAGTAAAGAAAAAACAAACAAAAAAACGAAACGTGCTCGAGAAAGAGTCAAAGATTTAGGCAGACAAGGAAAACAAATTGAAGTTTTCATTGTGGCAGCTTACTAGTGTGTGCATTTAGGCACGTTTGAGAATATCGTTTTTGATTATTGGATAGAGTTTTAACGGTGTAGATTAACTTTGAAAATGCTAATGCTAAATGCTGTCCGTAAATAGTTTTTTCAAAATGCCAACGCTAATCTATGCCGCTATTCTAATGATCAGAGGTCTTTACACTTACACCTTCCTCCAGTATATCACTGGCAGTCCTTATCAAGATCAAGATCAAGAGTCAAAAGTGAGTGCGGCACGCACCTTTTTGTTTGTTTCGGAGCCGTTTTGGCGGGGCGTACTAAACCCACTACGTACCAAGCGGATCCGTCACCTGCAAGATAAGGTACGAAGCCCTCTGAAACTCATTCAGAGCAACTTCGTACCTCTTTCGAATGAGTTTCACTATGTTACACTCATTTGAAACGAAATGAGTTGAACTCAAAACAAACATAGTGTCACTATGTTACACTATGGTTACACTATGTGAGTTGTGAGTTCAACGAATCCTTGCAAGCTAGANCTTCCTCCAGTATATCACTGGCAGTCCTTATCAAGATCAAGATCAAGAGTCAAAAGTGAGTGCGGCACGCACCTTTTTGTTTGTTTCGGAGCCGTTTTGGCGGGGCGTACTAAACCCACTACGTACCAAGCGGATCCGTCACCTGCAAGATAAGGTACGAAGCCCTCTGAAACTCATTCAGAGCAACTTCGTACCTCTTTCGAATGAGTTTCACTATGTTACACTCATTTGAAACGAAATGAGTTGAACTCAAAACAAACATAGTGTCACTATGTTACACTATGGTTACACTATGTGAGTTGTGAGTTCAACGAATCCTTGCAAGCTAGAGACATTTTATTGTCAATGTAAGTGTGATATTGATGGTTTACCAAAGGAATTAGAAAGGCCGGTGGAAGACTTTGGTCGTGAAGTAATTAATTATTAGTCTCGTGCGGCAAAAGGAATTAGAAAGCAAATTGATATCTTCAATTAATTAGTGCTGCCGGTGGAAGACTTTGGTTTTTTAGATGAAAGGCTCAATCCTTTGATGTGAAGAGATATGGTGAGATTTTTATCCTTTGATGTGAAGAGAGTCGCCTATATGTGTGTGGGTGTTTGATGCACTTGTTCAACCACTGAATCAGTGTCTTGACCGGTTCAATCATCAGTTCGGTTTTGAAAACAAGGTAGATTACATTTTTGTCAAAATAGTGTATTGAGTAATCGCAAATTCTAAGGTACCACACTCCAGGGTGTAGCGGATTATTAGGAGCTTTGATCCTCACATTGGATTGGGTAGCGAACGGTCGTTCTCAACTCTTATGGGTTGGGATGACTCCTTGGCCTTCTGACGAGTTCTAATTTTGTATTTCTATTTTTTTAATTGGTCTAAAATTTAAAAATACAAAAATGAAATTCTTTTTCCTTGCCAGATTTTGTTGATTGAATTCTAAAATGACACGCTATAAATGAGTCAGACTCTCAAATGGACTGATCCAACGGAGTACATTAAGTTTTTCGGAATTGTGCTAATTTTGGCAAAACTTGAATATAATTTTAAATAAACAAAACTTGTAAAAATTTGATATACCAAAATTATATCTTAAAACGAATTCAATTATATTAACTCCAAATTGTAAGTATAGTAGATATTTATTTTTTTCTCATAATTTATATTAAATGTTAGTAGAAAAATTAAACTAGGACAAATAACTCCCAAGAAGGAGTACATAGTAAAATTACAAACAATGTTTGTGATTTAAAAGCTTTGAATCGGTTCTGACAAAGAGTAAATTTGCAAGTGCAACGGGATGGATTTAGCTTCTTCAATTTCATTCATTAGCTAAAGAAAAAATGATTGACGAAATTCATGTGCCCACACCGGAAGTTTTAGAGCTTTATGATCGAAATAGAATGCTGAGATTTGAAGGAATGGGCACGACCTTACTTGAACAGGATCTGTTCTACAGGGGAGTACCTCTAAACCCTTTAATCTAAAGAGTGACTAGCAGCCTGCTCTCTTTGTAGCTTGGATCTGTTCTATAGGGGAGTACCTCTAAACCCTTTAATCTAAAGAGTGACTAGCAGCCTGCTCTCTTATGGGGTGGGGATGGCTTCTTTGCCTTCTGACAGGTTCTAACCTTTTGTTTCTATTTTTTTTCCTTGTTTTTACTTTTCATGTTTTGATCTTTTGGTGAAAAAGAGACATTTTTTACCATAAATTAAACATTATCTAAACAAATAAATGATATAAAGATTTGTTATATCAAAACTATATCCTAAAATAAACTTATTTATACTCCGTATTATAATTAAATATACTTTTCTCACAATTTTTTTGCATTCTGACAGGTTCTAACCTTTTGTTTCTACTTTTTTTCTTGTTTTTACTTTTCATGTTTTGATTTTTTGGTGAAAAAGGGACACTTTTTTACCATAAATTAAACATTATCTAAACAAATAAATGATATAAAGATTTGTTATATCAAAACTATATCCTAAAATAAACTTATTTATATTATAATTAAATATACTTTTCTCACAACTTTTTTGCGTTCTGACAGGTTCTAACCTTTTGTTTCTACTTTTTTTCTTGTTTTTACTTTTCATGTTTTGATTTTTTGGTGAAAAAGGGACACTTTTTTACCATAAATTAAACATTATCTAAGCAAATAAATGATATAAAGATTTGTTATATCAAAACTATATCCTAAAATAAACTTATTTATATTATAATTAAATATACTTTTCTCACAATTTTATTTGCATTCTGACAGGTTCTAACCTTTTGTTTCTATTTTTTTCTTGTTTTTACTTTTCATGTTTTGATTTTTTGGTGAAAAAGGGACACTTTTTTACCATAAACTAAACATTATCTAAACAAATAAATGATATATAATTTAGATATATTAAAACTATATCCTAAAACAAACTCATTTATATTATAATTAAATAAACTCATTTATATTAGCTAAGGGGCTAGAGCGTGATTAGCAGCCTGCTCTCTTTGCAGCTTGGACCGGGTAGCGAATGATCGTTCTCAAGTCTTTATGGGGTGGGGATGGCTTCTTGGCCTTCTGACAGGTTCTAACCTTTTGTTTCTATTTTTTTTCCTTGTTTTTACTTTTCATTTTTTGATCTTTTGGTGAAAAAGAGACATTTTTTACCATAAATTAAACATTATCTAAACAAATAAATGATATAAAGATTTGTTATATCAAAACTATATCCTAAAATAAACTTATTTATACTCCGTATTATAATTAAATATACTTTTCTCACAATTTTTTTGCGTTCTGACAGGTTCTAACCTTTTGTTTCTACTTTTTTTCTTGTTTTTACTTTTCATGTTTTGATTTTTTGGTGAAAAAGGGACACTTTTTTTACCATAAATTAAACATTATCTAAACAAATAAATGATATAATGATTTGTTATATCAAAACTATATCCTAAAATAAACTTATTTATATTATAATTAAATATACTTTTCTCACAACTTTTTTGCGTTCTGACAGGTTCTAACCTTTTGTTTCTACTTTTTTTCTTGTTTTTACTTTTCATGTTTTGATTTTTTGGTGAAAAAGGGACACTTTTTTACCATAAATTAAACATTATCTAAACAAATAAATGATATAAAGATTTGTTATATCAAAACTATATCCTAAAATAAACTTATTTATATTATAATTAAATATACTTTTCTCACAACTTTTTTGCGTTCTGACAGGTTCTAACCTTTTGTTTCTACTTTTTTTCTTGTTTTTACTTTTCATGTTTTGATTTTTTGGTGAAAAAGGGACACTTTTTTACCATAAATTAAACATTATCTAAACAAATAAATGATATAAAATTTAGATATATTAAAACTATATCCTAAAATAAACTCATTTATATTATAATTAAATATACTTTTATCACAATGTTTTTCTCAGAGCGTGATTAGTAGCTTGGTCCTACAACTTGGATCGGGTAGCGCATGATCGTTCTCAAGTCTCAACTCTTACGAGATTGGGATGTCTCATTGGCCTTCTGACGGGTTCTAAGTTCTAACCTTTTGTTTATATTTTTGTTTCTTGTTTTTTAATGGGTGTTAAGTTCAAAAGTACTACTCCCTCCGTTCCAAAAAATTTTTCATGTTTTGATTTTTTGGTGAAAAAGAGACATTTTTTTAACCATAAATTAAACATTATCTGAACAGATAAATGATATAAAAATTTGATATATCAAAACTATATCTTTAAATAAACCCAATTATATAAAATTTATATTATAATTAAATATACTTTTCTCACAATTTTTTTCTCAGAGTGTGATTAGTAGCTTGGTCCTACAACCTGGATTAGGTAGCGAATGATTGTTCTCAACTCTTACGTGGTTGGGATGGCTCCTTGGCCTTTTGATAGGCTCTAACTTTTTTTTTTTAATTTTTTTCTTCTCTTAATTGGTGCTAAGTTCAAAATTAAAGTACTACTCCCTTAGGTCTAAAAAACTTTTCATATTTTGATTTTTTGGTCGAATAGAGACACATTTGATCATACATTAAACATAATCTAAACAAAAAATGATATAAAAATTTGATATATCAAAACTACATCCTAAAATAAACCAACTATATTTAATATATATTATAATTAAATATACTTTTTTCACAATTTATTGTCACTATTTGACCAAAAATTAAAATAAGAAAAGTTTTGAGATCTGGATGGAATAAAATTTAGTTCTTTTTTCTTGATTAGCAGTTTGGTCTTATACTATGGATCGGGTAGCGGATGGTCGTTCTCAACTCTTACGAGGTTGGGATGGCTCCTCGGCCTTTGACGGGGTTTAACTTTTTGTTTTTAATTTTTTCTTCTTCTTTTAATTGGTGCTAGGTTCAAAAGTACTTCGGTCAAATAGAGGCACTTCTTTGACCATACATTAAACATAATTTAAACAAATAAGTGATATAAAAATTTGATATATCAAAACTATATCCTAAAATAAATGAATTATATTAAATTTATACTATAACAAATATACTTGTCTCACAATTTATTGTCACTATTTAACCAAAAATTAAAATAAGAAAAATTTTTAGGCCCGAATAGAATAAAATTTAATTCTCTATTCTTGACAAATCTTGTTGATCGAATTCAAAATATCACACTATAAATGAGTCGAGCTCTATTGAACGTCAGGGCAAATAAATCATGGCAAACTAGTAATTAAAAAATAAATAGAAATCACCCCTAATAAGACTAAAACATTGTGCTTATCCCTAAAATAGGAGTTCATGTTTTTTATCCCACAAATAGGACCTCTCCCGCCACATTCTTTCTTTCTCTCCCGATTTTGCCATCTTTTTCCTTTCCGTGTCACAATTCACAATCTGCCCCGTCTACATTACAACTCTTTGTAATACAACATTACAATGGTTCGTAATATTCATCACCACATTACAAATTATGACACTGATAATATCCATATTACATACTTTGTTGGACAATCATGAATTTTTTTAATTGCATATTAACCATTGCATATTTTTATTTTTTTGTTATGCATTTAAAGTCAACATGTCCATATGAGTTTAAAGGACAAAACATGGACATGTTGTGAATTCTAATTGGATCAATTTATTTGCGTTCATGCGGTGGCTGCTGTTAGGAGACATCCCGGCTTATCTTGTTATGATTTTATTTCTCCTTTCTACAAAATTGAGACGTTAGTATATATGTACATATGCTGGTATAGTCCACCCAAACACATAGAAATCCTATTCCATGAGTGGAAGATCCATACACTATTTGATATCACTTTATGTTGCATTACATGACTTTTTTTAGTATGATTTAGTTGTGTTAAAATTGCTTGTACTAAGATGTAACTTTTTTTGAACTCCTATTTA